ATTAAGTATTCTGTTAGAATTTAATGATTATACTAATTATAATTTAGATTTTTTAGATTTAAAATGAGATGTTTATCCTGTATTTGATTATGTTTATCTGCAGTTGGTTACACGAATTCATATATGGGATGAAATCGGATAAGGATGAATGAGTTTAAGAGTTTTTAAGAGTTTTAAGAGTTTTTAAGAGTTTTAGCCAAATGCTTTATAATATAGTATAGATAATAATTAAATATTATGTTATAACTCAATGATTATCTTAATTATATTCTAGATTTTTTATATTTAATATGAGATGTTTATCTAATATTTGATTATGTTTATCTATAGTTAGTTACACAAATTCAAATATGAAACTTTAATAAATTGTACTTGTCTATAAATTTACTTGTAATATTAAAATTTAAGTAATATACATCAATAAACAATACTTCATGCATAAAAAAATGGTTTTTAAGAGTTTTTGTTAAATGTTTTATAATATAGTATAGATATCAATATTTTTTTCATTTTTATGATATATCTTCATATTTATATTTTATTCAAAAATAAAAACGTTATATTTTCTCAAAACCACATAAAACTGTATTATAACATCGATTGAAAAAAAAACACAACATTAAAATCAAGATGTATCTTGCTGCATTGTACAAACACCCTTCCAGTATAATATAATAGATATAATCTCCTACAAACTCAAATTTTCATTCCAATTTAAACCAAAAAAATAAAAACATATTCTTCATAATTTTCATTCCTCGACATAGACCAAACAACCGGCCTCTCAAATTTGAATATTCAACCAATGATAAAATCATAAAAATATCAAGTTGATTTGCAAATTAAACGGTTTATTTGGCAACAAATTTTCTCTTTGATGGTTAAAGTTAAGGGGACTCCTTTAACCAAAAGACGAATCAACTAAACCAACTCGGATAAGCAACCCATCTAATGCAATGTGATCATGAAAAGGACCAAACATAACAAATCAAAAAACACTGTCCCATGTTTGGTACGATATATTTGGTGCGAGTTCGCTTCAAACAATGTAGAAGAATCAACAATGTAATATGCTCCATCGGCAAACATAGTTTGCCTTCATTTCAAAGTTTTGCCAACAAAATAAGGTTTCAAAACACGCACACAAAAAACTAGAATGCCGCAAAAACCTGAAACCTCAGCTTCTCGAGGTAAAAAAAACGCTATGTATATTGAATGCCATGCCTCTTTCAGAGCTCCCTTTTGATGCATATCATGTTACTTTCTCTTTTACATGATGCAGAGTAGAGATGCCAAGGCCTGGGCTCAGGCCTTCCAAGCCTGTTTTCGGAGAGAAAAATGACCCAGTTTTTTCCGGATTGGGTCAGGATTTGGGGTTGAAAAAGGGCTTGGTCAGGCTTTTCCAGGCTTTACTGCCACCAAAAATTTCAACCTGAACAGGCTTTGAAATCTGGCCTGGACCAGGCATCGGGATCACTATGCCCAGGCTTTTCAGACTGGACCCATGTCCAAAATCTGAGCTTGGGCTTCTTTGTGCATCTATGATGCAAAGATGAGCGCTTTCCAGTCTTTCTCCGATCTGGACTATTACCTGTGAAATGAAACAAAATGGTTAAATGTTAAGTAGGAACAAGATACTCGTCATAAGAATCATGCCACATATATTTCTTTTATACTATTTACTTTTGCAAGGTTGTGGGTTGCAAAGGGTTTAAAATATATCATATCCTCATACCCTACCTCTACATGGGATTTAACAGGTTTGTTCAGTTTGAGTTTTCCAAGCAAGTTGCTGTGTATAGCACCATCAATCTTGGCCTGTGTAACTTTTACAGTCAAGAGCTGGTTTTATGCCACAAGTTTCATGTAGCAGCTGCATTTACTTACTGTCTGGTAGTACTTGCACCAGTCAGCTCGGCCAGCTGCAAGTGAAGAAAAAACACTCGACTTCACGTTAATAAGCAGATTACAATGTCATGGCAGCATGGAACTGTGAATGCCCACACCAAATGAAATGAGCCGCTGTGGGGGCTAGAGAAGAGCCGCTCTACCCTGTAGGGGTGGTTATGTCTGTGTACATCTCACCACCCGCCCCCGGACCCCATTTTCGAGAGTTTGGCATACCTCGGTATGATGACATCTACCCAAAGATTAGAGCGGTTGTTTTGTGAAGACCCCCAACTTGTGAAAAGTGTGAAAGAGAGAGAGACAAATAAGATAAAATTTTCAAAAGCTAGTTACAGGTAAGCAAATAACATACAAATAGAAGCAGGTACAAGAACTGTGAATGTAGAAGTATTTAAAATTACTAAGAATCATGCCAAGTAACTAGCTATGTACAACACTATCAATCTTGCCCTGTGTAACTTATACAGTCAAGAGCTGGTTTTGTGTCACAAGTTCCATGTAGCAGCTGTATTTACTTACTGTCTGGCTGTACTTGCACCAGTCAGCTCGGCCAGCCGCAAGGGAAACAAATTTATAAGCAGATTATGATGATATGGCAGCATAGAACTGTGAATACCCAAGTGTAAAACATCAACAGAAAGAAGGACAAACTGCAAAACATACATTCCTGGGATGAATTTGAAAAGAAAAGGACAAACTGCAAAACATCAACAAAAATGAAGAAGGTACCTCAAGTTCCTTGCATCAGATTCTTTAAAATAGTTTATTGATCACTTTGCCTATCGACAAAGGTGCCTTCAGAACACTGCCATCCAACGCCTCGACATATACATTTCTGGGATTTGAAAAGAAGACTTATAAACATCAATTTACATAGACATTTGGTTTCTCAAGAACCTTGACAGCATAAAAAACAAACTAATCTAACGTTTTACATTTGAACTCAGTAGCAGAAAGCAATCAAGAATAGCAACAGATCAATTAAATTATAGTGAACGCAAAAAAAAACACCTGAATCCATGTTCAACCTAAGAAAATATTGTGTTCAACCATTTAAAAGCTTATAATCCTCCAATAAGTTTAACTATTCAACCTAGGAAAACAACAATACTATCATCGGTCGCAATTTTTATCTCAAAATCGTTCAGAGTTTGTAATTGCAATTTTACACCTACAGAAGCACGTATATTATCATACACTGACGATAAATTGAAAATAGGAAGATACGACGCCATTGATACCGAACTAAACTAATTAAAAACATATAGTCAGACACCATATAACTCCATTAAGTTATATAATGTTTAGAACTTATATAAGAACTCAAGATCAAAGATATACCTATGCAGGATCTCCATTATAATTGACAAAGTGATCGATATTTCCAAAGCACATGGAAAATGTTAATTCCAATTACTGATACAACAGTTTTGTGTAAAATGGATGACCAAAAATGAAGTATCCCATGATGCTGTAAGCAGTAACTTGGTTAGGATGAATCCCCTAAAATGGCGGTGGCATTGCCGCCGTCGGCATTTTTATAATAGTTGATTAGGGTTTCGGCCCTCGCCAGTTGGAACCCATGTAAAAATGCAAACCGCAAATTTGATACCAGAATGGCGGAATCAGTACTCGCTATTATGGGCCTTACAACTACAGCCGAGCCCATCCCGTTCTCAACGCCTTCTAACTTTTACATGATACAAAATAAATTAGGAATGGCAACGGGTCGGGTTCCGATCGGGTATTTGTATCCCTGTCTTCAAAACCGATAGTTAAAACCGTCTCCGTAACTGCCTTGATCTCCGTCGGGGATCTTATCGGGGATCCCCATTGGGTCCCCGCGGTTTTCCCAATCCCTGTTGGGGAACCCGTTAAGGGTAAAAATCTTTTTTTTCACTGTTGGTTATAATCGAACCCGAAATCGAAACTCGAAACCGATCTAAAAAAAATTACAATATGCTAATTTTCACAATTAAAAGTAAATTACAATTTTTTAAAAGATGTAAATTTAAATGTCTCAAACATAATCGAACCAATTACAAACAATATATTATATTACAATATATAATTAAACAGAAATTCAAACATCATACAACTAAAATCACGATTTTAAACAAATAAACTAGACTTTTTTGTATGCATTATTTAGGTAAAGTGGATAAAAGTCTTTTAAATTTTAATATTACTATTTTCTTTTAATGATATTATATATATATATATATATATATATATGCATTTATATAAATTAAAACTAATATATATATATATATATACACACACACATATCGGGCCGGGACGGTGATCACTACCCTCGCCCCCGTCCCTGTTAAAATCATCGAATTTGTCCCCGATCCCTGCCCCGCCCCTGATAAAATGTCCCCGAACCCAGTCCGAAAGTTTCGGTTTTCGATTTTCACCACCGGTTTCGGGTTTTTTTGCCATCCCTAAAACAAATGCAAAGTATAAAATTGTTTAATTTAATTTGGACAAAAAACTTATTACCATCAACCTAACGGTTTCATATAGGACCCGTTTTTTAAGAACAACAGTGTGAGTGGATATTTTTTCCAGCCATTCAGCATCTGATGCCAGACTCGTTCATGACATTTTATAAGTCTTGGACGAACATAAAAATAATACGCACTGCAAGAAACAAGGCTTTTAGCAACGACTTTTGTCGTCGCTAAAAGTTCATTTATCATCAAAAAGAGTATATAACAACAACATGTCGTCGTTATAGCTTGTGGTGGAAACATGTTATCACTAAAACGCATATCGTCAAAGCTACTTTTCTTGTAGCGACCCTTGGTAAGTACAAAAAAAGTTCAATAAATGTTTGTCATTAGTATGAAATTGAGTACAAAAAATGCAATCATAAATATATAACTTCTTATTAGATAATTTGAAAACAAAAATATAAAAACTATACTTAATACCACATAATTTATTAATTAAATAATTATAACAAAGTAAAATAAATAAAATATTTGATTTAATTTATAAAATGTGTTTGATTCAATAAAAGGAGGAGAAATTATATTAAACACACAACATTTAATAAATGTTTAAAACATTAAAATACACAGTAATAAGATTACATTACTCGTTAATTTCCTCTTCTCCGAATCTTTGTCAAATCTCGTCAACCAAATCTAATTGAAAAAATGATTCATTGACTTATTACGTACTTGTATATGAGTTTGAAGATAGTTTTCATACTCAGAAAGTATGCTATGAGAGATTTGAGACATAGTTATAGTAAAATTAACATCATCGTCTATATCATCAAATTGACGTAGATAAACATGACGTTCATCTTCGACGATACGACCAACAAAAAAAGAACAAACAAAAAAATCGAAAAATGATCATAAAATTGATGGAAATGGGTCCACAACAATGACAAAACTACAAAAAAAATTGTACGAACACTAACTTCAAGAACTTTTAAACAAACGTTTAAAGAATTTTTTAAAACTTAATATAAAATAGGATAAATTAGTTTGATCAATAGGATCAAACTATTATTATTTTATGTATTTTTTTTAAAATTTATTAATATTTTAATAATATAATTAATGAATTTTTTTTTTTTTTGAGAAATTATAGAGTGAAGTTATTTGTTTTGGGATAGCATGCCATTCGCACGTTTCAACAGAAAGAAGCTGTCCGCAGTTCAATAGTGGAACAGATATATAGTCCCCGCTGATCGGGAAATTGGGAGTAAGACTGCTGATCGCCGGCGCCATAAAAACAACAAAAGCTTCTCAAGCAAAGCTCCTGCTGGCAATAACTGAGTAATTTTGGAGTTCTACTTCTACGGACAAGAAGATAACTATGTACAAAACCGCGCAATCGTGGTTCACCGGAGGTCCCAGCCAGACGAGCAGCGATCTGACAACACAACCACCTTCTCTTCTTGCTGATTGGAACGCATACGCTGCATCTTCACAATCTAGCCAAGATCTAGATTCTTCCAGCCTCGGTTTCGATCTCGAAGCCGCAGTTAGAACCGCCAACGATAAGGTTTCCGGCACTTTTAACGTGTAAGTCGGTTAGCGTACATACTTTTTTGACTTTGCAGATTTGGATCTAGATTTCGTTGTCTTTGAATTTGTAGCCTAGTTACAGCAGGTTGCATGAATTGTAATTTTTAATGCTGAAGATCTTATGTATTAAAACCTAATCATGGTAATTTGGGCTAAGTGATCAAATGTGAAAATTGATATGGATTTTTTAACTTCAAATGAATGACAGAAAAAAACTACATATAAAAATCCAAAGAAAATTCCATCTTTCCTGGGTTTAGCTAATTTCTGGGAACTATCAAGATGGAAGTTTGGGTAATTTGATCCAAAAAGTTAAGGCAGAAGCATAATAGTCAGAATGGTACTCATATGAGTTGAAGGTGCAACTCCTGGGCATATTGGTCATGCATTTAAAAAGTTGGATCATTTAAGGTTGAAAATTGAAATGACACAGTATTCCATAACAATCATAGGACTGATGCTTTAGGATTATGGTTGAAGGTAGAGTTGTATGCGAAAAAGTTTATTAGGAATCTGCTTGTTAACTTGATATTTTATGATCCTTAGATAGCTTCTTTAAGGGAGAACAAATGCATGTCAAAGGCCATCGCAACATCTGTACTTGGAACATAATGAACTGTGATACAAAAATTATTTCCTAGGCAGGATATGGTCAGTCTTGTAATTGTTTATTTGGCAGATAATTTCACGTTTCGACTAGAGATATTGCTAAGGATATATTGATAATTGATGAAAATGATCCAATTGATAATACAATTGCGAAGATGTGAGATGTCATTCCAAAAGCTACAATGAAGATTCTATCCTATCGAATATATGGCCTTAACCACAATGAACTTACGGAGCAAATACACTTGAACTTGCAACCCAGAAGCACACTTGAACAAGAAAACTACAATGAAGTGAAATAACTTGTGTCGTGAGACTTGAACCTGTAAAAAATGCAAACATTGAGGGCATAGAAATGAAAAATATAGGAAACCTTCCACGTTGCTGGCTGGTACATAGATCCAGCTGTGGAACATGGTGCACCACCCTTTCCAATTGCAAACCAACCCAAAGAGGCACGGAATTTGACCCCAACAAACACTTAATCCACAGAATAAGGGCAAAACACCCCATGGAAGACATGGGAAACAGCTGGAAGCAGATCTTTAAGACAAAACCCAAAAACCTCGGATGGCGAAAATGCAATGAGGCCTTGATACGCCAAGACCCAGAAACTGCCAGAAAAATCTCAAGAACATTTTGCGTAATTAATTAGGACTTCACACTTTTCGCAAGATGGGGGTCTTCATGGAAACAACTGTCCGACTCTTTGGAGTAGAGGATGAATCTGGGTACACCTCACCCCAGACCCCACATCTGGGTGGGATATACTTAGCTTGTATGGTTTGTTTCCTTTGTTAGGGGGTGGGGTTCCACAGTCATCTGAGGAACTTGTTTAGAAAATCATATGGCTTGCATGTCTAATGCGAGGTTCTTACGTGGACTAGAAACAAAAGAATAGGATGTAGTAACAATTAGAAATGGAACAGTACATATTCTCCCTATCTCTTACATAAAAATAAACCAGCTCACATAATGTAGGAGTTAATAACAGTATTATCATCTCACAGCTTTTTTGGGGACCAAAAGAAGTCTTGTGGTGGACTAGAGCTCAACGGTAGCAGAAAATGACAATTAGGCTGTACCATGTTTTTGTACCCTAAGAAATGGAGATAAAGTAGGAATATGACAACAAATATGTACCTGTGATCTCATGGTTGAAAGTGTAAGTGTGGTTTATGCCTTCTCTGCATCCTCTTGTCCATTATATCATTGCTAGTGCATCAATACTAATTTACTCCATCTTCCGACTTGTTATAGAGTTTCAAAGGGAGTGAGGGACATTCCTGGAAATTTGCAGTCTGCCACGAGCAATGTTCCAAGCGGAAAATCTCTTATGACGTTTGGCATACTTCTTGCTGTTGGGGTGTTTCTTATCTTCACTGCGGTCACTGTGTTTCTACCAGTCATGGTGCTTGTGCCTCAGAAGTTTGCTATATGTTTCACCATCGGTTGTGCCCTTATAATTGCTTCCTTTTTTGCTCTCAAGGGATATAGAACTCAGTTTTCACATATGACATCCAAAGAGGTAATTCATCCGTTTGTTATTTGTTCCCTGTTTAGAATGTGCTTTCCTTAAAGGTCATATTTCGCAACCATAAGCTAAATTAATTTTTTGAGGTTATCGAAAAAGCCCTTGTTTATAAGCCATAAGCTAGCTTTTTATAAAGCTACTTTAGATAGTGTGTTTGTAAAGGGACTTTTTTCACCTTTTCCAATAATTCTCCTTATATATTACATAAATGATCAAAAACATGTCCTTTTGGTCATTTTACATCGTGTGATCCTGCTTATCAACTAGTTTTTACGATGATCAGTCAGCTTATCAGCCGACAACTAGCTTTTATTCTGCCTTTAGCTTTTCAGACAACAACTTGCTTATCAGCTAGTTTGTCAAACATAGCCTAACTCTAAAATTTAGAACTTAATTCATTTGTTGGGATGTACATAATTCTCTTCGTATTATGTGGTAAATCAACCTTACATGTTCATCTTTTACCCTTTCAGAGACTTCCTTTTACGTTGGGGTTTATTGGCAGCATGATGGGCACCATCTATGTCTCAATGGTGCTTCACAGCTATGTCCTATCTGTGGTCTTCTCTCTTTTACAGGTACTGATTCCTAAAACCTTCATCAGTTTACTGCATGCTTGCTTTTCTTTATCAATAATTTTCGTATTATTTTGTTTCTTTCCCTGTAATATGTGAACTATGGTCTGGCTTATGCACTCAAAAAACCTGTGGGCATTCCCTGACCAACTTGACTATATTTTGGGTTCTGCCAGGTCATCTCATTGTCATATTATGCAATTTCCTATTTTCCTGGAGGATCAGCCGGCGTGAAATTCTTCACTTCTGCCCTTACTTCTTCTATTCTGAGATGCTTTGGGAGGTGATCTTAATTGGTAATAAGATGTCTATAACTTCTACTCCAATCAAGTTTTACATAATCCTTCCTTTCAAATGCCCATTTCTGTTGGGCATGTGATTTTAATTGATACTTTCATTTTTTGGTGAATCCTTCTGTGTACCCTCCTCGGTGGACGTATAGATGTTACCCTTGAGCCAACTTTTTGTAGCCATAGATTGTTTAATAGTATTGAGATTGGGTTTGACTGTTCTTCTTCAGTATATTACTTTATTTGTGCAGAATTATAGTCATATACCATTATACCTTCAAGATAACAAACAAATAGAAACTGTTTGTAAGTAGGGGGGAAATCAAATAGGAACTATCTATAAGTTAGAATCTCTATGAACCAATATTGACCACATATTTTTGACTTTCATAATTACATTATTAATTACTTTATCTACCGTTTTCTAAAAAACTCACTTTTTCCCATTTGAAAATCACCTGGTCGATGTAATGTTTTGCTGGTGAAACGACATTATACTCAAAAGAAATCAATCCCATGTGTTGTTTCATTTGTGAAACAACACTGTATTTTCAAAATAAATCAACCGAATAAGTTGTTTCATTGGTGAAACAACGTATTATGAAAACATATCCACACACATCAACCCATGTTGTTGCATTGGTGAAGTAAAGTTGTTGTTTCAAAAGCAAAAACAAGAAGTGAGTTCTTTAAGGAAAAGATTGATAAGTCAATTAATATAATTAATAAGATGATTATGAAAGTTAAAAATGTGTATTCAATATTGGTTCATAGAGTTTCTAACATATAAGAGGTTTTTATATGATTTTGGTCCTATGTATGTATGCATGTCTGTATAGGGTTGGCTTCCCGGTAGAATGAAAGTTATGATGAGAAGGGTAAGAAGGGATCGCCACCCTTTGGATCAATCCTAATCGAAGAGAACCACTAGATCAGTTCCCTACTAAAGCACAATTCATGGGTTGTTTTGGGATTAGAAGTGATCAAGGTTCGAGTCCCTTCTTACACTTCTCAACTTAACTCCCATTCTCACAAGATTCTTCGTGTATGTTTATATATGTATATATATAGATAGATAGATATATAGAGGGTTAGGTTTAATTGAAAACCAAAGTCCCTTTATGAACCGGGGCACAACAGAGAGTGTGCTACGTATCCAGACATTCACATTCACAGGATATTCATTATAATGGTGTATCATTTATTATGAATGCTAACGTTTGTTATCCATAATGAATGGGGACAACTGGGACATGTGTCATATTCTCCTTTGTCCTACGGTTCACAGTAGAAAAAAGGTCTGCAATTGAAACCTATCCAAATCATTCAATGAATTTGATTTTATGCTATGATTCATATGGTTTCACATGTTTTGTCATTGTGTGTGTTTATGAGTGTGTATGTGACTATGCTTCTATGTGAAACGTATATTGATGTTTTTTTTTTCACACACAACACAGTCTTGAAAGTTTCATACATGAAATATGAAAACCGGTATATAGGCTTATAAAAAATGTTGGGTTTGTATTTGAAATGGACTCTCTCTCTATATATACATAGAATGTGTGTATATGTATAGACGAGGGATTGTGTGTGTGTGTGTGTGTGTGTATATATATATATATATATATATATAGACGAGGGATTGTGTGAGAATAACAGTTACGTGAGAATGGTGAGAACACTTGTGAGATTTTGGATGAGGTGACTTTTTAATCTAACTTAATTTTTTCAACTACATTTATCTACCTTTATCTTAACTTTTAAGTTAATTTCATGAACTTTTACATACATTTAATTATTTTTCACATGCATGAACTTTGTTAAAGTTTCGGTCATGATAATAAAAATAGGTAAATAAAGGTAGTTGTATATAGATGAAGGTATATGAATGTTTTGTTTCCACCTTCTCACTATAACTCTTTGGGGCTGTTTGTTTGTCTCTTGATAGTTTCATTAAGAGGAAGCTTCTAAATCGCTAAGAGGTAATTCTTGTTTGGTAAAAAAACCCCTAACTCTTAATGATTCCAATAACCTCCTCTGAGCGAGGTTTTCATCTAGGTCTCCCCAGCACATTTAGAGTCTTATTTTTCCACGGTTACCCTTTCTCACGCTGCTCTCCAAAGAGAAATCAACCACTATTCCTCCTTTCTCACGCTGCTCTCCAAAGAGAAATCAACCACTATTCCTCCATCGAATCCTCCGATGCATCTCTAATTGATTGCGTCTCTCACGATTTCTTTCATCAAATATGCTCACTGTTTGCATCTCTCATCGGTTTCTTAATCAGTTCATCCATCGATTTCTTAATCAGTTGAAACCATCAACTTCTGAACTTCTGCTCATGTGTGTTGGCTTTCCACAAGGAGACTAGGAGAGCTTCTGCTTATATGCTCTTTTAAACTTATTATGGTTCTTATATTATGTGTTTGCATCTGGTTGAAACAATGAATACATGGCTAATTTATGTGATCAAATTGCTATCGGTTATTGTTGTGTCAAATTAAGAATTGTGCAAAAAAATATTACGTTGAATTTGATTGTTATGTTTTTGTTTAATGTAGAACTTGAACAAGTGATGTTATCTTTATTTGGATTAATATAAAAATGTTGCACGAGTGATTGAATATGTAGTTTATATTCGCAAAATAATTGTTTTATTCAGATATTTACCAAACAATTATATTTCATTCAGATTTAAATCATACAGAGGGTTAAAATGGTAATTTGTTGTCATTCAGACCGTATATTCAGAATAATTACCATACAACCGTATTTCATTATGCAGTATATCATCCAAAGTTTTTTAATTATTCTGACCGTTTGGTCATTCAACATCAAATCGTTCGACAATTGCCAACTTCTCAATGGAACCCAACACTATACACACACACACACATTATATTATAAAACATTTGACAAAAACTCTTAAAGACCATTTTTTATACATGAATTCTGTTTATTGATGCATATTATTTAAAATTTAAAATTACATGTAAATAATGTATAAGTACAACTTTTTAAAGCTCAATGATTGAATTCGTGTAACTATCTGCAGATAAACATAATCAAAAATTGGATAAACATTTCATTTTAAATATAAAAAATCTAAAATATAATTAGAATAATCATTGTGTTCTAACAAAATACTTAATTATTATATTTATAAAAACTATATTATTAAATCACAAACAATTTTTTATTAAATCTAAATCAAATTATAATANNNTTACATATTTATTTGTTTGGACTTTGGATTGTTTAAATTGGGTTTAAACTTTAATGGCTGCTTCAATGCTTAGTGGTTGGTATACAGATTACTCACATGTGAAGGACACTTATTGTTTAGTACTTTTATTATAGAAAACAAATCTCCATGGAAGATGATTATGATGGGTGATTAATATTTATTATTCAAATTTATAATAGTACATATGACACTAGGTTTTTTGGTTTTAATGTTTAAAGCCCATTAAAGGCCCAAACCGCCTAAACCGGTCAGACCAGACCGCCTTTTCGTGGTCTGATTTGACCGGTCTGGGCACTTGGTTTCAAACCGCTTGGTCTGAAAATTTCACAAACCGCCATTACGATTTGGTTTGTGGTCTGAGGGCTTAAACCGCCTAAATCGGACCACGAACACCCCTAAATCTAACAAGCTTCTTGAGGAACTAGATGCTGGAATGGGCCTGGATCCTGGTTCCCTACTTGCAGTGAACATGAGAGTAGTCTGTCCCAGCTGTTACTCCACCATATTTGCATCTTTTTTGAAGTATATAACATTTATATACCTTTGGTGAAGTTTGAATCCTTGATCTCTTGAGAGGTTGAGCTTTACTGGTAACTCGAATACTGTTGGGCCAATGATGATGTATCTTTGTTTTTTCCGTTTTGCAGTTCCATCCTTGGAACCGTAGTCGAGCTGGGAAAGGCAAAGGTATACACATACCATCTAGTCAAACCTCCATTATCAGAATCTGGGGTTCATCATCTTCAAGATGTGTACCTTTCTCAGAAAAAAGTACTTGTGACCGTTTTGTGCTTCCACATCACCATTTCCTTTGATAAAATTCTTTTCTTTTTGGTTGTATCTTTAGAATATTGTTGATTGTTCAAATATATGAGCTGCAGAGAGTTGGAATCTAATTCGGGGCATGAGCACGGGCCTCTAAGCTCAATGGCCAAAAATTGGGCCCAAGTTAGTCCCGGTCCCAAACACTATTCCTGTAACTGGTTTTGGTCCGACCAAAAACCCAAGGCCCGGTTGAGGTGCTTTGTAACCGGTTATGAGAACCGGGCCCAAACAGGTCCTATGTACTTTATTTTTGAAATTCGATTTCTTACATAATTTTTTTTGAAATTCTTTTAAAAAAAATACAAAATTGTTATTACAAACCACAAGGGTGGTGCCGATTGGTTTGAATTTGGCTCCAAAGGTCAAAAGTGTCTGGAGGTCCCAGGTTCAAATCCAAGGAGGAATAAAAATCCCTTTGTGTTCACGGAGGTTCAAATGCAGTGATTCCGGGCTATCTGCAAAGCAGGTGGTCGTCTTGGGATTAGTCGGCTCGCATAGCGGGTTGGATATCCAGGTTAATAATTTTTTTTGTTATTCTAATACACTTGGAAAAATACATTTTTTGCGAGAATAGGAGTTGAAATCATGAATTGTAGCAAGAATTATGAACGTATGTGAGTTGATATCTTCCCTTCTACATCATATGACTTGTATACAGAGAATGGAGGGTAAATGGGGCAAAAAACAGTCAAAAATGGAAAAAGAACAAGTCATATGGTTGTTAGGTATCGGTAATAAAATGATAATGTTTTTGAAAAATCGGATGAGTCTTCTTTCTTGACGAAAATTGTAACCTGTTATGGGCCGGGTTGGTCCTTGTGCCCATTTGGCACCATCTCTCGTTAGGTTTGTTTAGAAAAAGTTGGCTTGGTTTGTGCATTCTAATCTATCATGTCAAATTTATTATTGGTACCGCAGAGATGTTCTAAAATTTGTGTTTGAGAAAAAAAATAGTCACTTGGACCAGTTTGTTTTGGAGAAAATAGACATTTTAGACAAATTATGTTCAAAGATGTTTGTGACCAGTGAGTGTTGATGCTTAAAAGTGAAGCTTAACTGGTAAACCAGTTTGTTGTTGAGATGAATTGTATCTAAATCTTTTGAATCAAAGGTTTAAAAGCTATTGATTTTAAAGATTGTAGAT